ATGTGTGTGTGTGTGTGTGTGTGTGTGTGTGTGTGTGTGTGTGTGTATATAGCCATGTGTTGTCCTGGGTTGGTCGTACAATAGCATGCCTGTCAACAGGGAAACCATCGAATGCGTCACCTCGTGCCGTGTGTTTTCCTGCTCTGGCTGAAAGTGCAGCTTGAAATTCCTTGTACTGCATGACGAATGGCCTATCTAATAAATCGGATTTTGTTTTCACAGGCGGTTACGAAGGAACGCCCCGACTTTGTTAGCCTAGTGAGGACAGTGTCCGAAGCATCGAGCTAAGGGCATATTGGTAGATGACCTTTACTGTGTTTTGGTTACCTCCAATTATATTCGACAGCGACACGTACATATGACAGAGGCATACATATAACGAAATCTCAAAATGTATAACGCCGCTTCATCGGTCTGGATAGTCAAGAAGCTTTCAGATCTCTTTGGGTTAAGTAGTTGTTGAATCGTATGGCGAATTGACTATCGACATCATGGCACGCGATACTGAGTCTCGACACACACTTTAAACTCTAGTATGCATGTGAATCCTTGGAATCTAAGCTACTTATAGTTAATTATATTTTAAAAGCGACCCCAGGTACCAAAGATAGTTCACTGCCATGATTCGCTTTTAAAATTTACTTGGACTCATTTTGTGCTTTGCTTCTGGAATTCTGTTTACGCCGAGATCAGAGCTTGTTAGACAATTATCGCGTTCCGCTTTGTCTGTGGGTACGATTTTACATACCCAACTGAAAAGACGCTTTGGGTTTTAGTACTACTTTATTAGATTGTATGTAGCCCAAATGACACCGTCTGCTTGGGTGACGATAAGTGTAAATCAACAACCATCAGAAGAAGAAAAAGCACCAACTGGTAGTGTACATACTGGATGAAGCTAGAGTACTTGTCACTCTGACGGAGGAGATAAGCAAGTCTAGCCGATTAAGAGATTGCGCGTAGTAAAGACCCACAAGAGCCACAACTCACAACTTCACGCTCGAGTCTTCTATTTTGTACGAGGCCACATACATAGTACGTTTGTGATAGTACGTTTGTACAGAACTAAAATCCAATAATAGCAGCTGTTCCGTAGTATTCAGAGCTTTGATTTCAGCCAAATTGGTTGGGTTTTTAGAAGTTAGAATTTGTACCAGATCTGGTACAAATGTACCCATTATTACTAGAGGGGTAAATGTACATTGTCCCACTAAATACATGGTACATACTACTAGACTAGAGAGGCACTAATTCTACAAATCCTATCTCGAAAAATTTTCAACCGATTGGTCTGAAATCCAAGAGACGTGCATATTGATGTAGCTTGTAATTAACTCCGATATTGAAAACTATGAATTTACTGGTTTAAAAACTCAATCATTTCTACAGCTTGTATCATAAACATTAAAAACAGGTGCCTAGATTACTATATAGTAATTGTTCTCAGTAATCTCACTAACTATTGGACGGCCCTATTAAGCCTTTTTGATGCGTGTTTGCGGTTTGGCTTGTCATTTTTTAGGTGGCTAAATGAAAAGCACTTTTTTTTCTGGTTTTTTTTTAAAATATAACCCTACAAAACACTGTGACAGTAGAATGGAAGTATGAATCACACTGTTTTGCTTCCTTTATAAAGAAAAACTTGGTTTGGGAATTTAGGTTGCAAAACTCTTGACTTACGGTCTTTCTCGTGGCTCGCACGGCTGATCTAACCGCTAACGTGTCTTTACATTCACAATAAGACATACAAAGTGCATCTACGGCTTGACACTACTAACTTGTTCTTATATGACCAGTATGGAGCTTGAAAACTCTATCCTGGAATGATCACAAGTCGTTCTAGCTAATAGGTGGTGTGTTTATTGTTGTATATGTAAACTGTCTTTTAGCATCTCTGTGTGCTGTTTGACGGTTTATATGTCGGTGTTTTTCACAAGCCTTCTGTGCACTTACATAACTGCGACGAGAAACCCTTTCCAATATCGTGGTCAGCAGATGATGTTAGAGCATGAATAGACACTTCGTTTGAGCTGTAGGGGTATGTGTACGTGTATCTACTGCAAGTATCACATACCACCAGCACTCGCGACTGGGTTGGTGTGTGCGATAATGTATCCAATTGCCCGATGTTAAACGCGTGATGATAGATTACAGGTACTGCTGACACAGCCAGTGGTTGAGTGATCTGTGGCAAAATGCTCAGGCATTCGGAATTCGTGTTGTTGACTGTATCAGTCCACTCGAGACCAATGCCTCGGGTAGCATAGCTCGGGACATTCCCACTCTTTAAGGTTGTGTAGTGATGCACATAATCGTAGCTGATGTTTAATTGTCGTAGCTATACATAATATATTCAGCAATGTATACGTAGCATTCGATACTGGTTTAACTTGATACTGTGATTCAAAATCAGCTTCGCGGAGAAGACTACCCCAGAAAACCCCCCAAACTTGGACGCCAAACTCTGTTACTTTTGTGCACTTAGAACTTGTAGGTTCATGTACACACACTGAATATTCTAGCGATCGTATGATTTCAACACTGTGGAGCTACAATTAATGGTTCTGCATTATGTCTGAAGTATGCAAACCTACGTACGCAGATCGACCTCTCAGGAACCCAATGTATATTAAATGAGTTGAGAACTGTCACAACCAAGACTATCTGTATCCTCGTATGAACACTGTATCCGATTAAATACCTCTGAGCGGTGCTTGCAGTATCTTGCTTTCGCTCCTTTTGTGCACATCTGACGCACATAATTAAAGAAAGTGTGAGCACAAGTGGTGGTACACCCATATGTACCGACGCGATCGCCTCCCTATACAACAACACATATCCTCCTAAATTAAACAAACCACACATGCATAAAATATATTAACCCCTCTCGTCCGTATGGGTGTTTTTGGGCTGTCGCAGTAATTTGCGGTATTCGCATTTGTGTGAATTCACTTGATAAATAAAGTATGTAGCAGCCGTAGAACCTCCTTCATCCGGACCGGAAGTGAGGTCATTTTATATTCATACCGATTGTACAGTAGACAAAATACGTCCGTTCGTGTTCGTATTCGTAGTACTACCACCTGTGCTGCTATTATACGCAAGTGAACCCTTTCTTCTCAGTTCGTTTTTATACCGTGCTACGACTCTCTGAACCACCTTACCAGCGGCGCCCTCCCGCGTACTGATAGGCTTGTACGGCCACACCACCATGCGCAATACCAGACACCTCAGGAGCGTATACCTTGATCTCTAATGGATCCTCTCAGCTGACGTGCAGCCACTCGCGCTGAGCGACCATGTCTGGCATGAGACGTACAATTGGGTATAGTCTTGAGAGCATGTATATACGTTGTGAGTGCTTGGAGCTGTGTATTGGTCTGTAGGCGCGTGCATGCAAGATGTGTGTATGTTTGTGGGGAGTTCATGCGATAGAGTCTTCGTCACAGGGAGATGTGTCCAATGAAAGGGAAGCGTTTCATCTCAACCTGCCAGTTGTTGACCCTAATGTCCATGAAGATCTCGTATATGTGTGTATATATGTGCATTAATGGATGTATGGCCCTGGGGCACAATATCTGACACATATCGGACCTATACACCTGGGTATCTCTCTGAGACCAGTGGACTCCGGCACGTACTGGCTCGCAGATTCGGTGACGTTTTCTGACTCTGGTTCCGTGAACTGCTGTCAACAACTCTGACCAAGTCGATTTTCTGAGATGTAACTGTCTGTCTTTTGAACAAGGAATACACTCGAAGAGCTTGTATTCCGGTGCGCGCAATCATAAGTAACAGGCCAATTTCTTCTTCTAGCAAGGCTTCATCGTTGTCGCGGGTTAGCACACCATGTGTATAAGTAAAAAGCGCAAGCGTGCACACGACTGTGAAGAATATATCCACCCTGTGTATTCAGATGGGAGTCAAAGAAAGTCTTAGCGTACAGATCACAGATTTCATTTTAGTCAACATCGCAGCCAAGATTCGGACTCACAACGACTGTCCAATATGAATATT